TATATATATTTTATTGATTTCAGAGAGGAAGGGAGAGGGAGAGAGAGATAGAAACATCAATGATGAGAGAGAATCAATGATTGGCTGCCTCCTGCACACCCCTCACTGGGGATCCAGCCCACAGCCTGGGCATGTGCCCTTGACCAGAATCGAACCTGGGACCCTTCAGTCCGCAGGCCAACCCTCTATCCACTGAGCCAAACCAGCTAGGGCTTGGATACTTTTGATGTATCAATGATTGAAAGACATCAATCATTGGTCTTTCAATCTTTAGGTCTGAAGTTTGGAAAGGGAACACCGTAGCCACCCCAAACCTCTCAAGATCTCATGGTCATGACACTCTCAAAATGACTTACATCTAAATGCTTCTGATTTATCTCATAAATGATTTGCAAGTGTCGAGGAAGCAGCTTCTCCACCAGCTCTACAGGCCAGCGCTCCAGGGCTTCTGGGAGCACGGTGTGGTTGGTGTACGCGAAGGTCTTCCGGGTGATCTCCCACGCCTGCGGGAAAGGGAGGGCTGAGCGGCTTTCCTCTGCAAGGAAGGCTGCCCTGCCTGTCACACCCCTTCACACAGCAAACATTTCCTCAATCCTCGCCCATTTATAACAGGGCAATTCATTTGCAAGAGGACAATTTCATCTGCTTGTACACAGTTACACACTCTTGATTCCACTCGATTCCTGAATGGTCCAGAGAGTGGGAATATGTTTTTGGGGTACCAAAGGGCAGCTAGTTCTAAAATGGACTGATAAAACATAAGACGGCATGTTAATAAATCTTCTCTACTATTCGACTGTGTCTTTATTTATTCATTTTTAAAAACATTGATTAAAAAATATATGTATTTTTATTGATTTCAGAGAGGAAGAGAGAGGGAGAGAGAGATAGAAACATCAATGATGAGAATCATCAATCGACTGCCTCCTGCACACCCCCTCCTGGGGATTGAACTGCAACCCAGGCCTTGACCAGAATGGAACCCGGGACCCTTCAGTCCGCAGGCCAACGCTCTATCCACTGAGCCAAACCAACTAGGGCTGTCTTTATTTATTAAATAAACAACATTTGAAGAATAAAAACTTAAGTAATATTGTGAGACGGTATAAAGTATGTTTAAAATACTTGAATGGCCCGGGTGGCGAGGAATGAGGTCAAGGAAGCCAGTCGCCTTCACCTTGGCGACTGGCTTCCTTGACCTCATCCCTGACTTCCAGAGCAACGGGACACTTTCAATGAGCTGTATCCTGGGGTTAGAGAGCTTAATCTAAAACCCTTTTAGACACAAAAACGGTAAGTTCCGTTAGGAATGTACTTGTTCATTTCTTAGTCTAACTCCCTGTGAAGTAGTAAAGATGGAGAAATGACAGCACCAGAGTGAGGTTTACCTCTAACTAGTGACATCAGCAACCATAACTTATTTTTAAAAAATCACAAAAGGAGCTTTTTGCAAAATCTCCCAACCACAGATATTTTGATTAATTGAAGGAAAAAGAAGCCAAATTATCCAGACCTTGGACCAGGGCAATTTTTCAATATCCACAAAAATCCTCATCAGCTCAGGGATGGCGAGTGCGGGGTGAGTGTCATTCAGCTGGATCGCAACCTGTGTGGAGGAAGACATCAAGGTGAAGGCCACGGATGGCCCAGGTCTAGCTTCCTTGACCTCATCCCTGCTGGGCAAAGGCCAAATGAAATGCCAACCTTCCCTGGAATGCTTCAGCATGCATTACCTACTCAACTGATTTAGCACTGAAACAGAGGAGTAACTCTGATAGGAAGTCCTCGTCCCCTCAGTTGTCCCCCCTGGGTTCATGGACTGAATACTTGCCTGGTCTGGAAAGGCATCAAACGCAGTTCCGGCACGATCCTCGGAGCCAAACTTGGAGGCTTTGAAGCGTCGGATGACATCTTGCAAGGTAGCGGCCACCACAAAGTACTCCTGCTTCAATCTGAGCTCCTTCCCTTCAAAAAACTTCAAGCCAGAGAGATGAGTGAGTGGCTCACAGTGTTAGGTGTGGCCAAACCTTGATTGGTGTCTCTGCCCAGAGAACTTTAAGGCTAAAGCCCATTGGACATCGGGTGGAAGATGGCTGGTGGGACACCAAGCACTAGCCTTTGCTCTTTCCTGAAACTCCATTGAAATGACAGTAAGAGAATGTTTAAAAGGCTGCTGATAAAGAATGATGGGAATGGGAGAGAAGACAACAGCAACAACTTTTTAGAAGCTGAAAACGGGAGAGTGATAACTGAGCCAGTAGACCTAGGATGGGTGAATCCTGACTGGGTATTGGAAAAGAGCCAAAAAGTAGCTCGATTTATACACCAAAGCCCCCAAAGGCGCAGGAAACGACAGCACTGGGTCTCCTTAGGAAGTAGGGGTGAAAATGGGGTAAAAGGTTAGTTGAGAGCCTGTCTAAGAAGCAGTAGCCTCAGACCTCATCCCAGTTCCCTCAGCTGAGCAGTTTCCTTTCTCAACCGAAGCAGAAGCTGTTGGTGTTTCTGTAGAGATGGTCAAACAGGGTCTCTGGACTGGCGGGCAGCAGGCATAGGTGAAGGCGGGTACCACCCCCTACTGAAAATGTGAAGAAGGGGGTCAAAGGAAAGTTTATGTACTGAATGTTGAGACTCTCAGTGTTCTCCTCTCAACCAAATTTCAGAACATAGGCAGTCAATGTTAGTTCTACCAGGAAAGTCTTCTCTAGGGAATCTGACCAGCCAAGAGGGAGTACAGATACTGACAGGATGTGCTCCTCAGGAAATGGCCCCACCAGATGACAACAGAGTGGAGCCCAAATAGACCAACCCCACCCAAGTGTACAGAGCTACCCCAAAGCTTGTGGGTACCCTTCCCTTAAACTCTAATGGGCAACTAAGAATCATTAGATATCTAAGAAAATTTTGTAAAAGAATGCTAGAGGTTAAAATAAACAAGCAAAAGCCAACTCAGAGGACACAGAGATTAGAAAAAGGAATATTATAAGAATACTATCAATATCCTCAGATTAGAAAAGATAGTGTATTCAAGAAATAAGATTACAATGCTTTAAGAAAATATCTAGAGGAAAAAAAGATTACTCAGAAATTAAAACATGATAGTCAAAATAAAACCCCCCCACAATAAAAGGATCGGAAGAGAGTTGTGATCACCCAGAAAATGGAGCAAGAAGACAAAGAAATGATAAATAGAAGAAAAAAGGTAAGAAAACTACAGAACTAGTTGAGGATGTCCAATAGTTCCAGACCATTTCTCAGAGAACTGCAGTGCTGTGTTCCCAGACTAAAAGGGTACCCAGGCTCCATGGGTGAAAACAGACTCACACCAAGCAACCCTCCCCAGCTCTAGTACAGTTGGAAGTAGGTGGTTGAGGAAAGGAGAGGTTGAGAGAAGGCGGAGTAATATATATATTACCCTACTACAAGCTTCAAAGGGAAAAAGAGCATGATTCAAACAAAAGATCAGGAACCAGAATTGCATCAACTGTCATTTCAAAATTAAAGAAAAAAGAAAAAAGAATCAGAATTGCACTGTACTTCCCAGCAATACCGAAAACTAGAAGACAACATCAACAAAAAAATGTGAGTGTTCTACATTCAGGCAAACTATCGATGTGAGGGCAGGAGAAGACACTCTCCGATATTCAAGGTCTCAAAAAAATTTGACCTTACATCCATCCTTTCCCAGGAAGCCCTTGGAGCATATGTACTACCAAAACAAGGTAGAAACAAACAAAGAAAAAGAAAGACATGAACACAAATGACCCCAGAAACTCAGTGAGCACAGGATGCCTCAGAATAACAGGGAAAGAAGACCCTGAGATGACAGGGAAGCCGTCAACCAGGAGAGATCCAGAGGAGGCTTTTCAAAAAGACTGAGTTAACAGAATGCCTCCTGTGTCTGAATGTATCCAGAGGACATGTCTGCAACTGAGGGACAGTGAAGGATAAATTAAGGAAAAGTACTCAGAAACCCAAGCAAACAAACAATGACTATTAACTCCAAGAAAAACAAAAACATTTTAAGGAAAGAAAAAATAATCATTATATGATGACACACATAGGCATAGATAGATCAGCATCCTGAAGCCTTTGTATGGTCATAATAATTTAAACACTGATTAAGGAGCCAGTGAAAATTACTATGTAATTATGTGGAGAGAACAGGGGTAGGAAATATGTGTGTGTGGTGAGGTGGGAGTGTATGGGAGGGAGTAAGCTATATTTTCATGTTCAATTTCACAATTGTGAAATGGGCAAACCAAGAAGAAACAGCTGTTATTAGAAACTAGAGGCCCAGTGCACGAAATTTGTGCACTCAGGAGGGTCCCTCAGCCTGGCCTGCGCCCTCTCACAGTCCTGGAGCCATCAGTCAGACATCCTTAGCGCTGCCGTGGAGGTGGGAGAGGCTCCCGCCACCACTGCTGCGATCACCAGCTGTGAGCCCAGCTCAGGGCTTCTGGCTGAGCAGAGCACCCCCTATGGGAGCACACTGACCACCAGGGGGCAGCTCCTGCATTGAGAATCTTCCCCCTGGTGGTCAGTGCCCATCATAGCGACTGGTCATTCCGCCTTTCGGTTGATTTGCATATTGGCCTTTTATTATATAGGATATGGAGGGAAGAATCCAGGAAAGTAATTAGAAGCAAGGGATGTAGTTGCTTCTGGGAAGTGGGAAATGGAAGACTATGTTTTTATATAAGCCTCACAGAATGTTTTTCTCTTTAAACTATGTGCATGTGTAACTTTGATAAAAATTTAAAAACCAAATTAAAAATTAAAAGTTATTAATAGGAAACTGGATTGATATCACCAATAAGAATTTATAGGTGGAATGTGGAATTTAAAAAAAAATTTTTAGTACTCTTTTATATTGCTAACATTTTATTTTCTAATGGCATGTATCATGGTAAAAATTATAATGAAATCATTCTTCTTCTTTTAAAAAAAGCATTATAAATCTATCCAAAATGAATTTAAACCTTTCTTGAGTTAGGGAATTTTTAATATCCTAGAAATAAAATGATTAAACATAATCACTGACTTCAAGAAGTTCAAATTAGTGGGGAAAGAGAGAGATGTGTAAACAAGGCTTTAAATAAAATGTGATGATTAAAAAATTAATGTTATATTTTATTATATACACAGTACTTTGGGAACCTGGGTATTCAGGTAATTTTTTATCTGAGCCCAGAAAGATAAGTTGGATTTGTCAGGTGTGCACAGGGGGCCAGAGTAATCATGGCAGGCAGAGGCAGCCTGGGAAAGGCATTCAGGTGAGAAGAACAGGCAGGGCAAACTGTCCTGCACATCTGAGACCTCATTGCTGGGGCAGGATCATGGAGGGTGCGTCAGAGAACTCACAACCATATTAATGAAAACCTGAGAGAGCACATCTAAGATTCTGTACTTCTCTTAAGTGATCAGAAGCCTTTAAAAAGCTTTAAGCAAGAAAAAAATATCTAACTTGTTGCAGAGGGAGGACAGATTCTTGGGAAGAATCTGGTCTGGACTAGGGTATGGCCAAGTTGGGGAGAAGGAATGAGTTTTGTTCTTGTAATTACAGTACAAAAATGATGTATTACTTGTACTTAAAACAAGCACATCCTGGAGAGCTACCCTTTACTCAGTGAATTAAGTCAACTTTGCACCTCATACTTAGTATATGCTGTCAATTGCTGTAGATGATTATTTCTAAGTAAAGTTAAGTTTGGTCCTTACTGAAGACAGGAGGATGAAGTTCAAGTCCCTTCCAGTGAACCAATCAGTATAGCCCCAGGCTGGAACTAGTCTTACTTTAATTGTGAACTAGAACAACCTTTTGCTTTTAGATCGGAGATTTCTCTGAAATGTACAGAAGTCACAGTGTTTTTCCCAAAGGAAAAAAAATCACATACACCATAAAGTTCTTGAAAAGGCTGCAGCAAACTTAATCCTCCTTAGAGACTGTGGTTTAACACCAAGTGGACATCTGGCCTTAAGGATCATTTATGTGGTTTAACACCAAGTGGACATCTGGCCGTAAGGATCATTTATGTCCTGGTCCCCAAATAGTTTTGTGCCATCATTGTTGAGCAGAGTACTAATTTGGTTGCTTCTGAGATTATTATTTTTTAAATAAAAATCATTATAGCTTCAAGAAAATGATTTTACCCATGTAGAAGTTAGGGCTAAGTACAGTGGGGCCTTGACTTACGAGTTTAATTCGTTCCGAGACCGAGCTCATTAAGGAGCTCGTTAACTCAAATTACTCTATCAACTCAATGCAAAAAATCGGCCGAGAGACAGCTGGTATCTCAAAAAACTCGTTAGTCCGGACACTCGTAAGTCAAGGCCCCACTGTACATTTAAACCAAATAAGAATCCATAGCAGTCATCTAAGATCCAGTTCCAAGTGTTTGCTTGCTTGTTTGTTTTTTTTAGCTAAGCTGTTCTTAATGTAAAATTAGGAAAAAGTTTAGAGAGATGAATAAATTGCATAAACAAGTGTTTGCTCCTGGGTCAGCTCCGAGGTCCATGACGCCACTTCACCGGGGTCAGAGGGCCGGAAGAGCCCTGACATTAGGGGAAGAGGCCAGACAGGAAACCTCCAGGGACTCTGATGTGGATGAAATTTCTGTTTGGAAAGTAAGCAGTGCTTCAACTAATCTTTTATATCCAGGTCTGTTTTGAAATACATGTACAGAACTTCCAATCAGTCATGGGGTCACTGATCAAGGGCAAAACACCAATTCTGGCTTCACACACTGCACACATTTGTTTTCCTGACTTGGATGGGAAGAGGAAGTCTAGACAATTCAGATGGAGATTATTTTGCATTGAAGACGCAAAATCAATATTAAAGCCCTTTACGAAGGCTACTGAACAGGTGCTTCCATAATAAGCTGCACACATTTGTTTTCCTGACTTGGATGGGAAGAGGAAGTCTAGACAATTCAGATGGAGATTATTTTGCATTGAAGACGCAAAATCAATATTAAAGCCCTTTACGAAGGCTACTGAGCAGGTGCTTCCATAATAAGCTGCTTCTGTTTCCCCCGAGAAAGCAAGCTCGATCACTCACATTATCATTGGGATAGAGGACCCGGGAGATGTTCTCGGCCAGATTTCGGTCCAGCACGGCCTGAATGTAGTCTCCAACGTTAACTGGGTGGAACAATAGTAAAATGAATAAGTAGACAAGCCAGCCACTGTTATCAAAGGCCCTTGACCTCACCTGATGTTTGCTGTGTATCATGTGGGATTTCTAAAATTCCTAAAAATTCAAAAGGATTTCAATAAACCTTTACGCTGTGATCCATATGAAAGTCTAAGAAGGCCAGACTTTAAAAATCTCCTCCATACCTGCTCCTCCACAGGGCTGCTTAGTCACTGAAAAAATTCAGATCAGAAACTCAAGGCTTTCTTTCTCAAGCTCAATTTGGTTCTAACTGGCAATCATCAAAAAGAAACCACTGTGCCCTAGACCCCAAGATCCTTGCTTTGTGCCATCTTTCTAGAACAGAGTACTAAATTGCTTCTGAGATAAAAAAGATTAAGCACACACACAAAGGAACAGAGCCCATGCTGTACTCACAGTCTTGGAGGTTAAAGTCGTTGGGCGCCCGAGCAGACCAGAGGCGCATGGTGTTGACGGTGTTATTCATATACCCAGGCACTGGGGTGTCATACGGCAGGGCCAGGACCACCTGTGGGATTAAACCAAAGTAGTTGCTCACTGCTTCCCAACTGTGATGATGTAGATTGAACAATGGGCTGGGAGATGGCAACTGGAATTCTGTTCCTGGCTCTATCACTAACTCAAATTGTGTGAGGCCTAAACCAAGACACGGGTCCTAGGGCTGGGCCAGGGCTGGGGACAGTAATTAGGGGCCACTGTGGATCCTCCTCCCATTGGAACAATCTGGAAGGCTGGAACCATCCAGATCCATGGTCCTCGGTGTCATTTCCATGTTGACTTCTCTTGGTGTCCCTTGCCTTGACCTGAGTACAGATCTTTTATGTTTCAGACCAAGCCACTGCTCTAAGAATAATAAATTTGATGTGCAAACAAAGTGACAAATGTGACTCTGTACCCATTCAAAAACAGTAATCAGGGTAAGTTTAGTGTAGGTTATTCAATGGCCTGATTTCAAATATGG